GGGGATGAGGTTTAGGGGGTCGAAACGCGCCTCCTCTCTCCTCTGTCTTTCTTTCTTTTTGTTTTTCTTCACTCACAACCATACTTAACCAGCAGTCAGTCGTGTTCGTATTTTAAAAAGTTGGTGACGCTTTGAAAAATCGACTAAAAAACTATAAACTAAATTGCAACATAGTTGCAGCGTAATCGTGCCAACGGTCTGTGGCAGGGTAGCGATGTATATATATATATATATATAATTATTTATATATATATATATATTTATTTATTTATAAATACGGAGGCTCCCGTTTCCAATTCATCCATTCGTTCATCCAATCTGTTCGTCTATTCTCGCTCGGTTTCTTTCATTCTCTCTTTATTGAGGATATTCCTTGAATTTGGAATTCATGAATTAAATGTATACCCTAATCACGGAATCAGAGGTGTGTACGTGTCTGTATGAATGGTTCGCGCGCATTGTGTGTGCATGTGTGTATGTGATCGTGTTCGCCTGTAACGATTGTATGCTTGCAGCTGTGTAGATGTGTTTTCGTATGTGTACATCCGTCAAGAGATCATGCTTACAGACGAGATACCGTCGAAAAATAAAAGAAAACTTAAAGATTGGCTTAAGCATCCGAGTTAAAGTAAAAAAGCTCTTTACGTGGAGGCGTGCAGACAAACGGGGGCCGAAAACCTCGAACCTTTCTTCCCGGTCCACCTCGCTTCCGCTATCTTTTGGTTTTCATGACAATTCCAACTCCTACAATTTCACTCTTTTCTTTCCTCTCTTTCTCTCTCTCTCCCTTTGACACACAGTTTGCGCTCCATTCATTCTTTCTTCATTACCACCGTGAATACAAAACGCAACCGATTGTTCGACGATCGCCGGCGCTCCTGTGGCAAGCTTACAAAAGAAGGAACAACGCGCTCATTGCGTACCCAGTGGGATGATACAGATATCTAGACGCACGCGCGCGCGAGAGGGAGAGAGAGAGAGGAGATCTACATAGAGCTCGTTAATTGGTTTTTATCTCTTCCCTGTTTACAGAGGTACAGCAGCATCGACTTTAATAGCTTGATACTTTACTCTAAGAACAAATACTCGCACAATTATAGAAGTTATAAAAACGAAACGTAACTAAGTCACAGGCAACAAGACCTGTAATTCAAACTTTAACAAATTCTTTTGCGCATAACATCTACAATTTTGATTAAATCCAAAGGATTTTGCAGACAATAGATTCTCCAGAAACTATGTACACATATCGCTTCGCAACTTCAACAATTTTCAACATTATGATAATTAGGTTATTAAAAATTAGCCCGAAGAAACAACAATACTGCTGCACCCCCTTAACAGTGTTATAACAAGACACCCGATGGCCGGTCTAAGCAGTTTGTCTCACAGGCGACGAGGAAACGAGTTCAACGCTGAATTATACATCGACGCTCTTTCCACCCCGGCTCACCCTCTCTCGCTCATTTTTCTAAGTACATATATAGGGGATCGTTTCTGTCGTCGGATGTGCTTGACCATTTTAAATAGTGGATACAACACGTGTACGGGCACTCGCGGCACTCTAACATGATACATTGCTATGGCCAGACTAGCGGAGGTTCAAACCGGCGGACCCGAAGGATGATTAAAACGAGCTCGTTGCATCCTCGCGCGGACCAGTCGGCTCCCGGTCGTTTACACCGCTCCTTAATTTACTCCTGTAAGAAGAAAAATATCTGTGCTGACTTGCCGATTAAACAGAGTAAAACTGGGACCAATATGGCTGACCGCTCAACGCCGGAAACCGCGGTGATGTAAGCTCTTGGACGTTGAAGCTGTTCCGAATGTTTCCATCATCAATAAACAATTTTTAACTAAGGCCTAGCTGCTCTGATCTGTTTTTTTTCATTTTTATATTAGTATCAAATAGAGATTTGGAACAGCTTCCGTTTGTTAAAGGTAGTATCCTAGTGCAAATTTACTGTGTAAACAGTTACTTGTTCTAGCAATGAGCGATCAGCATGTTTGGCGACCAATTTGCTCAACAGGCGGTTTTGTTACAAATCTGTTCTCCAGAGCGTCTTCTCCGCGAACATATTACTCTAGAATGAAGGATCTATACACATCGACTAATGCCTCTAATCTCATCCGCCCAGTTTTATCGTTTTCTCCGGTTTTCATCGGTCAACAATATTATCTAACGAGACGCATCACCGCGACAGTGTTCTCGGTTCGTTATCGTCGCTGCCCACTATTATCGGCTTAACGACAGCATATTTACTCCTGCAACTACTAATACACTTACGGCAATACATGCGTTTACTTTCGAAACAGTAACTTTCTCGTACACCTACGCGTAATACAATGTTTAGTGGTAATATTTAGAGATAACGGACATGTTTAGAAAAATCTATCTTTCTTCCTTTCCGTCGTTAACGCGTGCGTAGAACGTGGTTCCCTCTTTCTTTTCTGACTCTCGACGAAGAACGGAAAGGACGTCGCGATCTTATCTTAATACATACGTCGCGGTTGTTCTGTGTGTACGTGTGTCGATGCGTGGCGCAACGTGTATCGTTCTAGCGGGAATGAATTCCATATCTAATTTCGAAACGCGAGGAAATGAGGATTGAACGCTTGTGCTCGGGCGACGAGTTTATCGATGACGATCAGTCTGCGAATGAACGGACGATGCGGGTTTCCGCATGAATTATTAAGTCTAACTTGCATTTGTTATTTGTTTCCTGTAGCGGAGAAGGACGAGTGAGTCACAATTTCTCGCAAATTTGTAACAGAATCGTTTGTAACAAAGAGCCGCGCTCTTGCTCGTTTAATCGGCGGGGCTGACGAGATCCTTTTTCCCTTCGGCGACGTCTCCGTTTTCGCGCGTACCTTAAGTATCTCTTGATCGCTCGAGTGCGTTTCGAGAACATCCTATACGGATCACTATCGTATAATAATATAATATGTATATCACTGCGCAACGCTCTTCTTTCGCCCGACCTCGTGGCAACAACGTATGCGAACAACAAGTCCTCGAAAAGTGGTTCCCCACGAAAAGACACTACACCAACCTTGTCTCACGTCTCCCTTTCTTCGAATATTCATCTCTCTTTTATTCACTCTTTTAAAATTCTTTCGTCCACGTCGATCATAAACAGCGACACGCTCTGAGGAGAGTTTAATTCTGTTTTGTTTCAAGACGGTATCGAAAATCGGCTCCTACGTCGATCAATTTTACGTACTTTGGTTCTCTGGGTGTGATTTTTGTTTCCCGTTCGCACGGTTTGGTGCTCTCGAAGAAATTAAAAAAAAGGGAGGCTCTCTGTTCGAAACTAGCGGGTTCAAACCCGGATGACCCGAGGCGCGAGATCGTCTCTCGAATCGGCTCGGTTAGAACACGGATGAACGGTATCGGTGTGTTATCATATGTATAGTTTCGCGATCTACGTCCTAGGAGATTTGTTCACGGCGGAGACATTTCTATCTACGGACAAGTAACTCTTACGCGCTTCTTCCCTCTCGATATGTTATATGAAACGGAGCTTGGACTTGCCAACTCGTCATGGAAGGCATGAAACTGAAATCGGTACGTTTCCTCGTGCTTTTTATTTGTTTTCTATGCGAGTTACAAATATCAGCGACAACATCGTCACGCTAAAACGAGGCTCATCTCATTAACACCTGTACGCTCCTCGATCATCCATTTTCTTTTTAGATGCCAAACGTTTGGCGTCTCTTCGTTACAATGCTGTATTATTTTCTAAAACGTGCGATTACAAATGAAACACACTTTGTCGACATAAAACGAGCGAAGAAGCGTACGAGAGTTAATTAATCGTTTCTGCGAACGCTCGAACATGTTTGCTGAGCTGTTCGGAAACTGAAATGTTCGTGTAAGTAGCACGTTGCGTTCATGAAGACGTAGGAGTTCACAGAGACTGTAAACGTTCCCTCTTGGAACATCTTGTTGCTAAACTTGTTGCTTGATTCAACGAAGCGTTGATTCCGGAGTCGAGGACTGGTCGTAGAGAAGTTGACAACGAGCGACAAGTTAACAATAAGAAGTCCCGTAGTGTTCCTTTGGTGGATACACAGCTTTATTAAATAATATACAATTAAGTGAAACGCGTCGCGCATCCGACGCAAGATATAGCGGCTCCGTAGCAAAATATTTGTCGTTACATTATGTACAGTGCGGTGTCTTCATGAACGTATACTTGCGCAAGGTGTCCCATAATTTCGCGACCGAGTTGTGTGCGGTCGCATTTCCAGTATAAAAATAAGAAAAAGATAACACATTTATCAAAAGGTTGCGATAACGAAATCCTTCATGATTTCAGAGTGCCTCTTGTCCTGGTCGAAGTTATCATTTCCTGTGTACCTAACGTTTTGAGGGCCGCCGCGACGCGCACGTGATTCTGCTAACGGTACCGTTCATCCTGAATTTCCCTCGATTAAGTATAATAATTGTGCGAAAAGCGCCGATAGTGCGCTACGATCAGCGGCGATCAAAGCGTTAGCATAGTCCTCGTTCATACCGTCAGAAAACGGCCGCGAAATTACGAGACACTTTGGATAGAGCGGTAGGCAGTGTGGGCACAAAAAAAAGGAGTTGTGAAAGATAAAATGAATTCGCTGAAGTTACAATCGGCGCACGATTCTCACGATTACATTCACGGATAGCGTTAATACTGTTGCACGTTCACTTTCTGCAGCCCGAGCGGAAAATTAAGAGGACAACAAAGAAAGAAAAGAAACGATCCCCGACCGAGATAAACGTTCGATCGAAGCAAATGATTGGGAACGTCTGAAACGAGGCGACGAGCCTCGAATGATCAGAAATCAATTAGCGATTGAACCTGTTCTTTCAGTTTCATGCCTTTCCAGCTGGATCGGACTGGGCGATCGTGTTTCAGACCTCGACAGAAGCGGAAGTACGTTGATCCGGGACTGTTTCAGTGAAATGAGATCTCAGCTTTGGCTCGACGATTAGGCTACCGGGTGGTCGGAGAGGCTTGGCTTTGATTTCTTATAAAAATTACGGGAGTTCGTCGAAGCCTGGCACAATCCGACTGTTACATTCGTTTCATATTGCTTCCAACGCCCGCTCTGTAATCTCAGCGATCGCAAAATAAAACCTCTGACATGGATCCCGCTCCGAACCGTCCGGTAGTACGATCATCGTCGATACAATGATCGTAAACACACGAGCAATCGCAGCGATCGGCAATCTTCGGCCAATCGGTTAACATGATTTAATTAATGAAGTGTGTATGTGTGTGTCGCAGGCACGAACGCGTTCTTTCACCATCGGCACGTCAATTCCTTTACGTTAATTTTACTCTGTTTCTTTATTTTCATCGTTACGCGCAGCTAGGTGCTTGGGTGGACACCGAAATTGCCGGGTAATATATATAATGTTTATATATATATATGTATATTGAACTTCACCGGGGTCACTGAAAACTCAGGGACCCTTACCGGCGTCGTCATCAGTCAACGGTGGACACGAGAGAGTTTTACAATACGTTGAAATGGGTAGAGTAACATCGGCATAATCTGACAAACGATGTTTGATCCAACAAACGGTGATCGTGGACGAGATGACAATGACAATCGTATTACGATAATAATAATAATCATAAAATAATAATAAAATAATAATACAATAAATTGTGAGAGTAAGGATAATTAATTGTAATGACAATTGTAATCGTAAAAGGAGAGAAAAAGGAAGGAGGAGCAAAATAGTTAATCGTGATAATAATCATGATAATAATAGTAGTAATAATAGCAGTAGTAATGATGGCTGTGTGGTGGTGGTTGAATTCGATTGCGGCTGCGTCGTCTACGCCGTGCCATCGTGGTCTGCAGTAGTGGATCCCGGGAAATCGAGCGACTTCCGGTCCGCAGAAGCTTCGCCGGCCTACACCGCCATTTTGGATCCAGATCGGACTCAGGCTCGGCGAGGGTGATCCTCTTTCTCCGCCGGTTCGGCTCACCGGTTTGCAGCGGCCCGACGACACTCGCATGATCATCATCCTCGTAGACTCGATCATCCGCACTGTTACACGCGCACTGTACTGCCCCCCCAAGATCGACGACAACAGACAGTCACTTTTGCCTTCCACTTTTCTTCTTCTTCCGCTTGAAGAAGCAACAGCATCTGTAAAAAAAACCAACACTAATAGGACTTAGAGTCGTCTTCTTTCGATCGTCTTACGCTAGGACACCAACATGCAGCACGACAACAATAGTAGGGAGCACGCATTCCAAAAAGCTTGTTTCCGATCTCTCTTTTTTGCCTGTTCTCTCAAACCGATTTGCTATACATGTGGCTACAGTGTCCAGACGCAGAGCCGATACGCGTGAGGCGTGTGTAGAATAGAGTATGGGAACTGTTGTCTTCGGGCTACTGTGTCTTGGTAGGATGGACTGTGTGGTTCGGCAACAAGCAATCAGGATTCACTAGCAGCTCTAATAAGAGTCGTACCATCTTTGAATTTATAATGACAGGTGTCGTATGCATGGGGCAAGACAATTAATGATAGAGTGGAAATCAGAGAATTAAATAACGATACAAAAGTAAAGTAAAAGTATAATCGAACTCTTTTAATCTTCAATGTACAGATAAAAATAATAAATCACTCTTTGACCTCGAACTATCTGTGAATTTATGGACAGTTAATGAAAATTAACTGACCAATTAAAAATTAACAAATTAAAAATGGTATCATAAGATTGTCCATTTGTTTTGCAACAAGAACTCTGAGAACTCTCTAACAAGAACTGCGCTTGATTATTTAAATTAAACGTTCGTACACATTTGTTCTTCTGCATAAAAAAAAATACAAAAAGTCACTTGGATCCTGAAGAAAATTGTTTTGAATTGGCACCAGAGATCACCGGTGTAGGTATTCAAAAATGGTCACGGGATGTTGTACTTCGTTCGAATGTTACGTAGAAGGAAATTTTGTAACGGCCAGTTGTACTGAGCCAATAAACCAAGTTCAGGGATTGGTTTGGAATGAACGGTGGACGTAGGAGTGCGTGAACTTCGGCGTAGGAGCTTTCCGCATCCGCGGCAACGCTTTTTTGTAGACAAAGATTCGACTCTGAAATAGGATAGACAGGAGATTTAACATGTACCATGCAGAAGATCCGAATTACAAGTAGAAAACCCTTTACTACAAAAGAGAATGCAACGTTCTTATTGCACTTGTGCGGAAGATGATGTCTGTTCAAGGTCGCAAAGAAAGATGAATAGCAAGAAATAGGCGTGGCAAAACGAAGCTGTGGGCGGCCGAACTGCGTGGTGAGTTGGACCACGCCCAGTGACCTTGAGCAAACTATATTTTCCAAAACCAATGTTACACAGGATCGTTGCTACCTTTCTACCAAATTAGTTCACGCTATTTAAGATGATCGTTAATTTATGGATCGCCGATGACACGAGTACCAGAGGTATGCAAATCATTTGTATCCGCTCAACGAGACTTGCAACTCTGTTAATAGACTTTTCTTATAATAATGAAAATTAAATAAACGTTATTGGCCAGTCTACGGACAAGAAAATAATTAATCTCACAGCTTTACATTTACCGCCGCAAATGATTTACAAACGAATAATTTTGAGCGGCAGCAATACTCGACTAATTCGCATACCTCTCGAATGCATGCAGTATTTCCAAAACGTTACTTTGGTCACCCGATTAGTCAAGAGACAATGATACGTAGCAGAATAGATACTGTTAGGACGATTAAAGTATTGTTAACAGCCTAGTGCGTGAGAACCATGGCCCGTTCGCCCGGTCAAGAAACAAAGGAGCAAATCGATTAATACTAACTTGGTTTCGTCGACCATGTCCACCTCTTGCGGCGCTGTGATTGGTGTGTTCGAGTGTCCTGCGGTGGGATCGTCGTTCGCCAACTCTCCGTTCGTCGATGACACCACCTAAATATACAACGAGAGCCATGGTGAGCATGATTTTCACGGGTTCCGACAAACCGGTCACATAAAGAGAGCAAACTGAGAGTGAGAGAGAGAGAGAGAGAGAGAGAGAGAGAGAGAGAGAGAGAGAGAAGGAGAAAACTATGATAATACGTACAATATCTGTATGTATCGTATAAAATACTTTGAATTACTGGAGTAAAAAACGTGACGACCAATGGGATACTTTTGTACACCGTGAAACCGAAAAATCTATGGTGGTAAACAAGGAGCTCTAGCTACACACGTGGTAACACAATAAGTACACGTATTTACGTGGAAGGATATACACATAATACAACGAGTCTCTAAGTCGCAAGGAAACAAGATAGTAATTTACGTGAAAACGAGCGGCACTTTATATTCATGAGACGTTCTTAAATACAAACGAAGTGAAACTCTAAGACGTGATATAACTAATTTGAACTCGGTTAATAACTCACTCTCGATACAAGAATCAACAAAAAGAAAAGCGGATCAACAGAAAACCCTGTGTGGCGAAACGAAACGCGGCTTTTAACGCTTCTTCGCGTCGTCGCGCTTCCTTTTTATTCATTCTCGCCTCGGCGGTACTGGATTAGTGGCGGTAAACAATCGGCCGTGAGTCGATCAACGATACAAAGTCAACATGCTGCAACAAACCAACTCGCAACCTCTAAACTGACCATAATCCATTGGCGCTTCGCCTAGAAATAGAGCGGACGGTCAAACAAACTGTCCGAGCGCTCGTGGCGCGTCACTTTCTTGGTCGAGACAGCGAGGAATTGGGATAGAATCAGAGAGAAATTCGGGAAGAGAGCGTCCTGTGACTCGACCTCGACGATTTCGTCGTCATTGCACTCGATTAGAAACAATTTCGAAAGAAAAGATTCACATTGGTCGCAGATTCCCGCCACGAGAAGGGGAGAGAGAACGCTCCTCGAATCGAGCACGAGCGCAAAGTGCTCCGTGAGCCATTGCTGGGACTCCGAGAGCGGCGAAGCCACGCCCACGCGGTGCAATGTACAAGATAGACGATCTTCTGTCTTGACGATCGTCACCAAGTCGCAAGTTCAAAAGTGTCTCGCGCATTCTTCTGGCTGAAATCTAGAGCAATCCATAGTCTGTCCGACGAGACGAGTCAGCAAGNGAGAGAGAGAGAGAGAGAGAGAGAGAGAGAGAGAGAGAGAGAGAGAAGGAGAAAACTATGATAATACGTACAATATCTGTATGTATCGTATAAAATACTTTGAATTACTGGAGTAAAAAACGTGACGACCAATGGGATACTTTTGTACACCGTGAAACCGAAAAATCTATGGTGGTAAACAAGGAGCTCTAGCTACACACGTGGTAACACAATAAGTACACGTATTTACGTGGAAGGATATACACATAATACAACGAGTCTCTAAGTCGCAAGGAAACAAGATAGTAATTTACGTGAAAACGAGCGGCACTTTATATTCATGAGACGTTCTTAAATACAAACGAAGTGAAACTCTAAGACGTGATATAACTAATTTGAACTCGGTTAATAACTCACTCTCGATACAAGAATCAACAAAAAGAAAAGCGGATCAACAGAAAACCCTGTGTGGCGAAACGAAACGCGGCTTTTAACGCTTCTTCGCGTCGTCGCGCTTCCTTTTTATTCATTCTCGCCTCGGCGGTACTGGATTAGTGGCGGTAAACAATCGGCCGTGAGTCGATCAACGATACAAAGTCAACATGCTGCAACAAACCAACTCGCAACCTCTAAACTGACCATAATCCATTGGCGCTTCGCCTAGAAATAGAGCGGACGGTCAAACAAACTGTCCGAGCGCTCGTGGCGCGTCACTTTCTTGGTCGAGACAGCGAGGAATTGGGATAGAATCAGAGAGAAATTCGGGAAGAGAGCGTCCTGTGACTCGACCTCGACGATTTCGTCGTCATTGCACTCGATTAGAAACAATTTCGAAAGAAAAGATTCACATTGGTCGCAGATTCCCGCCACGAGAAGGGGAGAGAGAACGCTCCTCGAATCGAGCACGAGCGCAAAGTGCTCCGTGAGCCATTGCTGGGACTCCGAGAGCGGCGAAGCCACGCCCACGCGGTGCAATGTACAAGATAGACGATCTTCTGTCTTGACGATCGTCACCAAGTCGCAAGTTCAAAAGTGTCTCGCGCATTCTTCTGGCTGAAATCTAGAGCAATCCATAGTCTGTCCGACGAGACGAGTCAGCAAGCATAAACGAATACCAGGCGATTACGGTACACACATTAATTTTTTGGATCGGTAGCAACAGATCCAGAACTCGATATTTAATAATTAATAGCATGCGATAGATAATAGTATCAGCATCGATTACGCGAATATTATGCGGCCGTTTTGCGTACAAAACATCGTCTCGTTGAACGGACTATAGTCTGCTCTTGCAGCAGTTTGTGATCTATACTTGGTCAAGTCAACACGAAACAGAAAATCTACGTCCCTCCACCATGAGCCGGGAAATCTAAGGGTGAAGGAAGTCCATTCTCCTTTTCGTGGCAAGAATCTACGGCGTCGGATATACAAAGACTGGATGGCACCTAGCGTAATCGAGGTCACGCCTCTAGAAGCGTCTATTTCTAGAGGCTCCACCCCGGAACGTCAGGAATCATCGGCAGGCTTCGCGAGCTTCCGTTTCGGAGGACCCGCGATCCGACGCGACACGAACGTGTTAAAAACAGAAAATATGTGGTAACTGGGAAAAGGGGAAACGGGGAACGGGGCGAGAAGGGGACAGGTGTGGGCGTCGGCGGACAATGGACGGCATAAGGGATCCCGAGGTCCACTCACCTGTACTGAACCGTGCCTATCAGCGGGTGTCAACGTACCACCCGGTCCTGATTGCTTCACGGTATCCTGCCACGTGGTTCCCACCAACTTACCGCCCCCGCCTCCCACCCCTCCTGATGCAGTCACATCCTAAAGGAACAGGCACTAAGATATCGCAAAATTTCAACGCGTTAGGCGGATACAAGAGAGGAGATAGAGAAAAAACAGATGAGAATAGATTGTCGCACCGACGATTGCGCAGCGCGAGCTGACCGATTAGGCTGCCGATCGAGCGAATCGATTAGGACGTTCCGCTCCAGGTGTTCTTGATACAGATGCGCGTGTGTATTACCGAGTACCAATAGTACCAGAGTGTCAGTCAACGGCTAATCCTGCTTAACTACTGTACTAGCTACTGTACGATGTGTTCAGGTCCATTTATGCGCGTCCTTAAGAGACTTTTGCTTCGATTCGATTGATTTTTATCAGAAAGTTCGCCACGAAGAAGAATCGGCGCAAATATAAATATATCTAAATATAATATATAAATATATCTAAATATATTTCATATACAGATAGATTATATTATTATGGGTTAATTGATTATCATAATCGTATATAGAGCATTGTTCCGTCACACGGAGGCAAATACGGTGGGTAAATATGTACTCGGTCGCCTTTTAAAACGGAGTGTAACTATTTTAAAACTGGTCCGAATGACTCGAATTTTTTCGAGGTTTCAGTTCGGTCGTCATTTAACGACGAATCCGTAATAATAATTGAAAGGCTTTGAATACTAATATTCGATGTGTGATCGCATAAAATTATAGTTTTTGCTGTCACGTACAATTGTTATACAAATTGATGGTGTGCAAATATTTCTTCTATTATTTTTCAACGATAAATTACAAGCGCTCCTAACCGCGAGGTATAATACTACAAGGATACGCGAGGGACGTTTGTTATCTCAATGATGTCACAGATGAGAGATATCGACAGTTTTCCCAAGGTATAGTAATTAATTTAAATAAATTTCGGCCGCGTATAAATGGACCTTTATACTTCGGTAATGCGATAGATACTGGTGGGCTGCCAACAGGGAGTTTAAATACTGTTCTCTCTTTCTACGACGCTTCCTCGCGCATGCGAATTTTGAAATATTCTTCTTAAACTGCAACTGATCACAGTGTTAGATCCGATAAATTCTGTTCGAAAAGATTTTTAGCTCCAGTTATAGAAATCGAATATAGACAACGGAGAAACGAACTCCAAACAGAATTCATGCGCGAAGAAACGTGGAGCAGCGGTTTACGAGAATCTGGATGGCTTACATAGTTGCCCTGCATTTCGATGTGAACCTCATCCAACATGAGGACTACATCCTCCTCAAAATCATCGCATTCCTACACATCGAGGATTCCCGTGGTTCGTAAAAGAACAAGAATCGTTTATTGTATCTCTGTCCTCTGTATGTTTCGAGTAACGCGGGTCTCGTCGACCGAACTTCGACATTCTCATAATCCTTTGTCGTATTTACAATGATCGCGGCGCCCGATTCGTTATATCAGTCTTCAAATCTCGAATATCAATGCTTTCAAAAAAAAAAAACAAAAAAAAAGAGGTGGCGAAGAAAAATGAAAAAAAAAGGCTATAGTAATCAAAGAAAACGGTGAACAAAATGTCTTTGTGTTTGCCGGTTACGTGTAGTACGTTCATGCGGTTATTCGAAGTAGTTTGAATAAAAAAGCTTCACACATCCATGCTCTGTTCAGAGAAAGAAAAGAAATTGTAACGTGTACGAGAAACACGGGGGAGGGGGGGGGGGGGCC